TTGTAATGAATTGCACTCTTCCATTTGTTGAACATGTCATAATTCTCCAGACACTTCCTGGTTGTTAAACATTTCGGTTGTTTCTGTTTTATGTATTATTGTTAATGCAGCTATTATTTTTTGCCCATAGTGGCTTCTCTTACATTGTTTTCTTAGGATAGCCTCCCAGAAATAGAATCACTGTTGAAAGAATGTGGATACCTTTCTAATTCATGATCCATCACATTATGTTTCTTTTTAAAAGGGCTGTTGCACAGCTCTGGCTGTTTCAGTCTTCTTTCATAGCATAGGGCGGCACTAAGGATGGTCCTTATACCAGATGTTTATGGACAGGTGGATTTATAGTCTTACACTGGAAAACAACTTAACCTTGGGGTTTATTTAAATGGAAAAGCCTAAGAAGAAGCTAGGACTATACCAAGGCAGAAGTTTCTAAGTTGTGCCTTTTTTTACTGGTACAACTGTTGGTATCACATCATAACACTTGGCAGCTAATTGTGTCCAACTGGTGAGTTATTCCATTGTGTGTGTTTGTCACAGGTGTAGGTAGACTCTTGAATGCCGGTTCTGTCGGAATTGAGAGAAAGAGAGGGTGCTAGGCATAAAACGTACCATAAACGTGACTCACATGGCTGTTTAAAAAGCTTTGATTTATTTTTGGGCAGAAGTTGAAAATCTTACTGCCTCCAGGGGCCTGGCAGGTAAAGCACACAGGAACTGCACACAAATGTGTGCAGGACAGGGTGTCAGGGATAGGGTAAAGCGGAAGTGCAGGCCTTGTCTGAAAGGGGGCACTGCTGCTTGGCCCCATCTCATGGCTGCCACAAGGGAATGCAGCCCAACGTATTTTTAGAGCTTGCAGTTTTTCAAAAGAATTTGGAAATTTGGATAGTATCTGATCTTTACAAGTGCCAACTAATGTAAACATTTAAAAAACACTGTAGGCATAATGAAACTGTCCTGAAGCTTGATTGGCTCGTTGCTGCCAGTTTGTGGGTGCTCTCACTTGACTATAGCTATGATCCTGTGAAGTAGGCCAAAGGTAATTTTTTATACAAACAAGGAAGGCTTAGAAGTTATTGTTCAACAGTTCATGAACTGTGCCTGTCCCATTAGGATGTGAGCTTCATGAAAGCAGGGCTATTGTCTCTTTTCTGCAATGCTCATAGCCCAGCTCCTAGAATAGTTTCTGGTGCATATTGGACACTCAATAAATATTGAATTAATGAGTGATGAACAAATGAAAAGAGGTTAAATCACATGGCAAATAATATCTACATTTATGTGCCAGGTATTCCTCATGTTTTTTCTCATTTTAATATATACAACATTTTGTGAAAGTAAAATTATTACCTCCATTTTATGGGTGAGTAAACTGAAGCTCAGAGACATAAAGTAATTTGCTTGAATTCATATAACTCTTAAGATGTAGAGTCAGAACCCAGATCTTCCAACTGGGTCTTGGCTCATTGACTTTGTCCTCAAACTAGCTTCTTTCATTGTTAAGAGGTGGCTGCTATAGATCCAGTTATTACATCCAGAATCTACAGGAAGAAGAGGGGCTTGTTTCTTCCTCGTATCTTTTCTTAAGAACAGAGAAACATTTCCCAGAGGCTTCTCTCCATAGGTCATTGGCTAGATACTTCCCATTCTGTGCCTCATTACTCACTGACATGGAAACGGGAGACCAGTCCAAAACCAGTCCCTGAACCAAGAGACTGGGCCCAGATGGCCACTGGAGAGAGCAGCTAAGAGTTGAATGCTAACAAAGCCAGGGTTATGATGGAATAGAGGAAGGGATGCTACCGGCTCTGTCTGCTGCAGCAGGCTGTGTGTGAAAGCAAAAATACAGGTATGGTAGATCTTTTAAAATAAGAGTTTTTCCTTGAGCGTTTCATTTTGGGGAAGAAAGTAGATGACTGTTAAAGCTACTTATTCATGACACAAAGTTATGTTTTGGAAAAACTTACTCTGAAGCTCCAGAGTGTTAGAGACACCTTTAGAGGGTTGGTTTTGCTCTGAAATTTCACAGCTGGTCAAGTCAGTGACCTACAAGAATGTTTCAGGGAAATACCAAGGGTACCATTTAAAGAACTGCGTTTATAGCTACGTCAGGCTGCAATTCACATCATCCTACTGGTGTGTCATCAGCAAGAATTATGTGTATAATTAGACAAAAATGTTTATGAATTTATACCAAGGAATAAGGAAGTGTAGTAGAAGCAGTGCAAGGCATTGGTTAGGAAGACTGGCCTTGGAATCAGACCAAGGTCCATAACCCATTTCTGCTGCTTCATTATCTAAAGAATAATAAGGCAAATTACTTAATCTCTTTAACTTGAGTTTCTTTACCTATAAGATAAGGATAATAATATCTACTCTTTATGGTTCTTGTAAGGATTAAATGAGACACTGTCTGTAGTGATGCTTGCTAGAAGCTTGACCTGTGGCAAGTGCTTTGTAAACAGCAGCTCTGTATCACTGTTATTTTCACTTAGCGCCAACACCAGTGTTTTGGCTATTACTCAATCCCCAGGCCAGTGTTTCGCAATATTATAATTTCCAGTAATAACTTTTTTTCTTTATCAATAGGTTTAGTATTTATGCCAGTATTGGTCTCCCGATACTTTTGATAGATTTATAATTTCAGTTGTACACTGAATCACCTTTGTCAGTCTCCCCAAAGTCACCAGATGGTTAACAGCATGACGATGAAGACCTGAGGCTTCAAAAGGAACAAACCTAAGTGATGTATGTGGGAATTATTCTTGTTGCCTTAGCCTCACTACCCTGCTCTGTATGCACTCTCTGAAATAATCAGCCACCAATTTGTTCCATCTTCAAAGATGCACACTTACAAATTTCTGTTATGAGCCATTTTCTTGAGAAAGTTGTGTTCTTAAAGTAAATGCTTTTTATTAGGCAATTTGTTTTGCTCGTAATTTACCAGGTGGTACGTAGTCTTTGTTCATCAAATAATCCACACATTGTCATAGTTGAAATGATATTTCATTTAATTAATGTTAGGATTTCTTCCAGTGATCACAATAAAATTATAAAAGCAACTGGGTAATTTGCTCAATTCTGTAGAAGAAGTAGGTGTTGAAACTCTTATTTTTCCTCTCAAAAAATTCATCCCTGATTGTAATTAAGAAGCCTGTTTGACAAGCCTTGGAATACCTTAAGAAGCACCTTATCTCACAGTTTCTATGGGGTCAGAATCCAGAAATAGCTTAGCTGGGTCCTAGGCTAAGGGTATCACAAAGCTGCTGTCAGGTTGTCAGTGAGACCGTCCTTAACTGGAGGTTCAATTTAGGGGAAATTCTGCATCTAGGCTCACTTGGGATGTTTGTGAAAAAGCAAAAAACAAAAGACCCTGAGATCTTCATGTTTCTTGCTGTCTGTTGGAGGCTGCCCTCAGCATCTACAGCCTGCCCATGGTTCCCTGCCAAATGGCTTTCTCCTAGGTGTGCAGCATGGCAGTTTGCTTCTTCAAGGACAGTGGGAGAGTGAGAGTGGCTAGCAGGCCTGAGTCATATATAACATGACATAATTGTGAGAGTCAGGTTCCCTCACAGGTGCCATATTCTGTTGGGTAGAAGCAAGTCACAGGTCCCTCCCACGCTCAAGGGAAGGGATTACATAAAGATGTGAACGACCAGAGCCAGGACCATAGGGGTACCTTAGAGCCTGCCCACCACAAGGAGTTTTGTGTATTGTGACCACTACTGAATCCTTAGTGCCCTAAAATGGTGCCTGACACATGCTAGGGATTCAATAAATACTTACAGTTGAATGAATGAATGAATGAATGAATGCAGATATTACTTCTTTGAAGTATGTATTGCTAATGTTTTGTCCCCAAGCCTGTGGCTTACCTTTTGGTTTTGTTTATTAATCACATGTTTTAATACAGAAATGTTAAATTTTAATTTAGACAAATTAACAATTTTTTTTTTATCTTGGTTTGTTTTATTACTTTACATCTCAGGGAGTTTTCCCATCTAGAAAACAGATAAATATTTGCCAATATTTTCACCTAGGTTTTTAACTACTTCTTTATTTTTTTTTACATTTATTGATTTATCTGGAAGGTCAAGAGCTAAATGGAGAGTTGAACAGAATGTGGTAAATAATACTTTTTTTCTTCACTAATCTTTTTCTTTTTACCTTATTTGGATTGTATTAAAATATTATATACTAGTTTCTGGGCTCTCTACTTTGTCTCATTTATTTGTCATTCTCTTCTTACTTCAATTACATGCTTAAAAATTTATAGCATTTTAAAATATGCCAAGAAGTTTCTGTCAGACTCATTCTGTATAATAATTAGGCTATGTTATAAGCTGTTGTAACAGAGAGACTCCAAAATACAGAGACACAAATAAAATGGAAGCTTATTTATCTTTTGTGTAACAGTGTAGGGATGTGCAGAGTCCAGGGTAGGAGGGCAGGTCTCCCCAGAGTCATCTGGGGACCCAGGCTTCTTCTGTCTTGTAGCTCTGCCAGCCCCTAGACTGATGTCCTGGTCTGTGTGATTGAAGTGGTTTCATATCTACATCCATCTTCCAGTCAGTTGGAAGAGGGTGCTGGAAGTCCTTGAAAAGTACCTTTGCCTTTGAGTTGATGAACCAGAAGTGGCACACATGACTTCTGCTCACATCCCTTTAATGGAGACTACACTTTATTGCCACAACTACCTTCAAGAGAGGCTAGGGAAAAATGGTATCAAATAGAGTAGACATGCATTTGACTACAATTTGAGAGGGTCTATTCTATTTTTTATAAAGAAAGTATGTACCAAGGACAGCAAATAGTCTGCCCCAGTCTAGTATTCATAGTTACAAATACTCATATTTAATAGGAAAGTAATAATCATGTTTTACCAAGTGAAGAAAAATTAACCTTTGGACATAGCAATAAGATATAAATATGTCCTGATTTTTGGTTTTAGATGACAAGTAACCCATGTGCCAGGTAGCGTTCTATGCCAACCTTGAATGCCAACAGGAAGTCACTGGACAGCAAACTCTTCCAAGATCATAACTTGGCTGTTGGAGCAACCTGGAAAAGAAGAAGAAAGAAAAACGATGGCAAAAGTAAATAGAGCTCGGTCTACCTCCCCTCCAGATGGAGGCTGGGGCTGGATGATTGTGGCTGGCTGTTTCCTTGTTACCATCTGTACCCGGGCAGTCACAAGGTAGGTAGGATTTCCTTCTTGACTTATTAAGATGACCTGGCCTGTCTTTTCTTTTAAATCTGCTTCATTCTGTTTCTGAACCCATCATTGTGAAGATATGTGTGTGTGCATGTGGTGTGTGTGTATTTCCATTGACGACTCAGGTATTGTTTTCTTTGCAAAGTATGTGATTTTCTGACACTTATGAGTCCCAGATAGTGGTCTTTTCTATCATATCTGATATTTAAACCTGGAGTCTTAGGACAGTTGTAGGCCAATGCTGTGACTATTCCAGTCGTTCATTTTCATAAGCAGCTCTAGAAGATGTGGAAGGAAACATTTATTTCTTTTTTCTTTTCACTCTTCATCTTCCACTCTTCATTAATATGAAATAGTGAAAACTCATCACATATGAAATACCATGGGAAATGTCCTACAGTATTTTCATAATGAAATCACTTTTGTGGGGATTTTAAAGAATTGGTAAATGCACACCTGAGAAGGTAAGTTAGCTTAAGCCGGCATAGCTCCAGGGGAGGGTAAGATCATTTCTACAAATGTGTTTCTCCAGAATTTTTAACTCTTTCATCTTAATGATAAATCTAAATTAAGATAGATCTTATTCATTAAAGTTTTACAAAGCTAATAGGATGTGTGATCTATAATTCATAAATCAAGAAAAACACTATGGGCAAACTGATGACAAGAGATCATAATCATAATGGTGTGATATGGCTTTAAGTCTAGGGGTGAGGAAAACAGGTGCCAGGTGATAAGAGTATGATTATAAAGTTTGTAGTGGATGTGTGAATGTGTCACACAGAGTTAATCTTACACAGGGTTAGGGTCTATATTCATCCCAGAAAGGATAAAACTTGTAAGGCCAAAATAATCCTGGAAAACTCCTTTCCTCCCTAGGGCTCATTAAGCCCCTGGAAGCTTAAAACCTAGAATTTAAATTATTTTGCTTTATTTTGCATTTTGGCTCTTGTGGTGAAGGCTGACTTCTAGGTTGAAGGAGAGCACAAACATAGATACAGGGATTCTCTCATTCTTGCCTGCTCTCTTCTCCCTCTTACTTTTCTCCAAGGTCACAGTGTTGAATATGCTTAAGTTAGATGCATGTATGTTAGGACTCATCCATCTCATTTATATTTGGAGTAAATATGCATTTGAAGTATACATGTGTTAGCTCTTTCCTCTACAGGTGCTTTCATTCAAATGGAAATCTTTATTTCTCTCCTCTGGCAGCAGACCCTTACAAGAAAGTAATTTGGACTAATTATTTGATGGCATCATCAGTAGAGGCATCAATGTCCCTCCCATAGCAAAGATACAATGCAGGATAGAATAAGATGTTTATCTTTGCTACAGTAAGGTTGGTTGATTGTGTGTCATGATAAACTACAGATTTGTTCAAAATAATATAATTGATGCTGAGTGATTTTATGCTATTGATGGGAATATAAATTAGTCCAGCTATTGTGGAAGACAGTGTGGTGATTCCTCCCTGACCTAGAACCAGAAATACTATGAAGTGTGTTTTTTTTGTTATTGTTGTTTGTTTGGGTTTTTTTTTTTTGTTTTTTTTTTTTTTTTTGAGACGGAGTCTCCCTCTGTTGCCCAGGCTGGAGTGCAATGGTGCAGTCTCCACTCACTGTAACCTCCTCCTCCAGATTCAAGCAATTCTCCTGCCTCAGCTTCTCAAGCAGCTAGGATTATAGGTATCTACCACCACGCCAGGCTAATTTTTGTATTTTTAGTAGAGACAGGGTTTCACCATGTTGGTCAGGCTGGTCTCGAACTTGACTCAGGTGATCCACCTGCCTCAGCTTCCCAAAGTGCTGGGGTTACAGGTGTGAGCCACTGCGCCGGGCTGAAGTGTGATTCTTAAGAAGACCTCTGTAAGAGGAATTGGGATATAATTATCCCTTTGACATTGTGACTTCTCATCACTGATATGACAGCTCCCTGGACATTAAGAAGTCTAGATTATGAGTCTATAATATGAGTCTATAAAACTCATCTATAGGCCAGGCGTGGTGGCTCACACCTGTAATATCAGCACTTTGGGAGGCTGAGGTGGGTGGATCACGAGGTCAGGAGATCAAGACCATCCTGGCTAACACGGTGAAACCCTGTCTCTACTAAACAAAATACAAAAAGTTAGTTGGGTGTGGTGGTGGGCGCCTCTAGTCCCAGCTACTCAGGAGGCTGAGGCAGGAGAATGGTGTGAATCTGAGATGCGGAGCTTGCAGTGAGCCGAGATCGCGCCACTGCACTCCAGCCTGGGTGACAGAGCGAGACTCCATCTCAAAACAAACAAACAAACAACAACAAAAAACTCATCTATATTGTGAGTCTTGTGTTCTGGGTTTAAAGAAGTTGTGGAGTTAAAAGGAATCCTTTTCATCTTAGTCCTTCATATAGAAGCTTCCATCATTCCCATGATGAGGGAGTTCTGGAAGTGGGCACAATGCTTTAGAAGGAGGGATCATGCTGGAATCTTAGGGGTAGTTGAGTCTTCATGATGAAGTTGCACTTTTGTGGAGTTGCCCATAGTGCTTTTCAATGAGATACTAAGATAAGTCTCCCAATCATATAGTCTCATGTGAACCTTGTGATTTATTCACCCTCTATTTAATAGATTAGGACACTGATGCTCAGAAAGATTGACTTGCCTACATTTATTTTATTTTTATTTTTATTTTTTGAGATGGAGTTTCACTCTTATTGCCCAGGCTGGAGTGCAGTGGCATGATCTCAGCTCACTGCAACCTCTGCCTCCCGGGTTCAAGTGATTCTCTTGTCTCAGCCTCCTGAGTAGATGGGATTACAGGCGCGTGCCACCATGCCCAGTTAATTTTTTGTATTTTTAGTAAGATGGGGTTTACCATGTTGGCCAGGATGGTCTCGAACTCCTGACCTTAGGTGATCTGCCCGCCTTGGCCTCCCAAAGTGGTTGGATTACAGGGGTGAGCCACCGTGCCCGGCCTACATTTCTTTTTGTCTAGCAGGACAAAGTTGGACTGGAATTCTAGTTTTTTGTTTTGTTTTGTTTTGTTTTTTACTTCTCATCTTATGTGTCACTGTACATACATTCATAATCCATTGACTCTTGAAACAAACACACACACACACATACACACACACACACATAAACACAGAAACCACTATGGTCTTTCCAATACATAATTCAATAGCTTCCTAAACTATTCTCATACGTACACCACACTTCTACCTGCCCCTGCATACACACTACAAACACACAAACATACACATACACACACAAACATGCAAACTCTGCAGCTTATCCTTTGGAACAACTGTGTATTACAAGACATGGGTTTTTGTTTTTTGTTTTTTGTTTTTTTAAAATGGTTATGGGAGTCATTGTCTTAACATGGGCAACTTCTTAATACCCAGTGAGCTGTCATATCAGCGATGAGAAGTCATAGTACCAAGGGAATAAATGTCTCCAAATTCCTCTTACAGAGACCCTCTTAAGAATCACACTTCAGACTAAGGAACCTAGGAACCAAGGAATTAATTATCTTTTCTTCTCATAAAATGTATATCTTAGTGCAAAATTTTTCCATAGGAAAAATTGCAGAGGAACAGGTATTCCTGAGTGCTCCTCAAATTTTCTCCTTACTTTCCACAGTGTTTTACTTTAGTGTAAACTTCTTAGGCTTGCCCCTCCTCTGACATACCACAGACAAATAGGAAAAAGTTAAACACATCTTACTTGCACAATTTTTTTTCCAGTAAGATCAAAAGTTAACTCAGGAGCCTAAAGTGGTTTGTTAACTCACTCTACATTGCAATTTATAGGAAGGGGATAATCCATCCTGATTTACCATCACCCCATGATTCTTTCTATTCTTTGAAATTCAGGATTGGATGCATTTTAAGAACTTAAAAACTGTTTAAAAGTGTCAAGAATAATCACTAATAATGCCTCTTTACCACCTTGTTCCCAACCAAATCCTAATTAAGCAAAGCTCTTCAGTATGTGAACAGTAAAGGCAATTTATTCTGTCTGCTTAATATTAAGCTGTATCCAAGTATGAATTTGATGATGAATCGAAAGGCAAAATCAGTTCACTCCAGAAATACCTTCCGGTGGTAGAATGCCTGTCACTTTAGTCGTTTCCTTAATCATAGTTGGTGCGCTTATGCCAAATCTTTCAATTGGATAACTAAGGGAGCTTAACTCTTAAATCCTCTGTACACCAAAAAAGAAGTAAGTAGATGGTTCCAAAGTGCCTATTACTGTTATTTTTCAGACAAGTAAATAGACCCAAAGGTCAAATTCTCATACTTCTGTCTGTAGAAGAACCATGAAGAGAAGGAAGCTCATAGACGCCCAATTTTGTGTTATCACTTGCCCAATCTAACATGTTTGAAAACTCCTGCCTCATTTGACCAGAGGTATATGGGCTAATGCATATTGGATTCAATTGGTGATGAAACTGGAGGAGATTCTAATAACAGCTGCTTAGATTTGGCAGCACTATAAACGATTTTATCTTTATCAACAGCAAATGGATGCTGGTTCTTTAAAGAAGAAAAAATTTGCTAATCCCTCTGTCTGAAAAAGAACTTCTATAGTATGCTCCTATCTACAAGTAAATAAACAAACCTCCTAGGCGGAACCCAGGTCATCCACACATGCTAACATCTTTCATTATTGATCCTCAGGGACACAGTGGATGTTCTACAGAGTTTTCCAGGCCCTTCTCCATCTTTAGGATATAACTTAGGACACCACAATCACAATCAGACTTGGGATAAATATGTTTATACTGCTGCTCTCAGTTTCCACTAAGCAAATTACAATAACATTACAGTCTGAATATTTTTGAAAAAGGCACAGGGGGAGAGATCTTTGCTCCAAAAAGAAATGGTAGCTAAAGCAGGATGGAATAAAGGGTGCTCAGTTCAGAACATTCTGGCTAATTCAGTGTTCTGTGTAAAATTAAGTACATGTGTTCTCTGCCTAAAAAAAAAAATGTAGT